CCGGCTAATTTTTTCTATATATTTTTAGCTGTCCAATTAATTTCTTTCTATTTTTAGTAGAGACGGGGTCTCGCTCTTGCCCAGGCTGGTTTCGAACTCCTGAGCTCAAACAATCCGCCCGCCTTGGCCTCCCAGAGTACTAGGATTACAGGCGTGAGCCACCGCGCCCGGCCAATTGTTCTCTTTTTTTGACCATGTACCTATTTGTATATAGGTATATGTAAAATAACAGATGTTCAGAAAAACTTTTTAAATGTTCATTTAATAAATAATTATAAATTAAATACTATTTATCCACGATCCAAATCAAGAAATAGAACAATGCAGAACCACAAAATGTGCTTTAAGACCCTCCTCGTTTAATTCCTTCCTTCTGTAAGGGTAACTACTATTCTGACTTTTATACTAATAATTTCCTTGCTTTTCCTTATATTTTTATTATCTATGTTACCAGTAAATAAACATCTGTGCACAAGTTAGTTTTTCTTATTGTATTAGTATCATATAAATGGACTCATGCCATATATATGTTTTTCTGGCTTCTTCACTTAATGCTACAATTGTAAGATTTACGTGCTATTGCACCTAGTGGTCCCTTCATGTTCATAACAAAATTATGACAGTTTTTCGAATGTGTGTGCTTAGAGTCGTTAGGAGATGAGAGAGATTAGAGAGAGATGCACGCAGAGAGATTAAAGAATTCCAATGACGTTCTTCATCTTTCCAGAATGTTTTTGGTCCCAGCCCTGTATTAAGAAAGAAGGATCCTATACCTTATGGTCACTTGCTCTTAGGTTTTAAAATGCAGACAAAGAGGTATACACCTATTATTTGCTAAGTTTATGTTAGAAAACTTTACAGTTGAGCTCTCATGTAATTCTCAACAAATTGACATATTTAACAAATATTTATTGAGAACTAGCCTATGCCAGCTACATGGTAGGTGCCATAGATGCTATGGGGACCTTTGCCTTCACAAAACTGGTAGTCTACTGGAGGATAAAAACAAATAGAGAAACAATTTTCATAAGTATGGTGATAATGGAGAAGATGACAGGATACAAAGGATGAGACCATCTGTATATCTAACCCATTCTTGGGAGGAATCAGGGAAGACTCATGAATGAAGAAATACTCATCCTGGCACCTTGTGATGACTAAGAGTAAAACTATTAGTTAAGGGAGGGAAGGGAATTGGGGAAATGTATAGCGTATATAAAAACCTGGAAAAACAGCCAAGAGAGCCATTTCTACAAGCAGGGAAGCCGAAAGCAGATTTCCTTGTCCCCTCCCCAGTGCTTTTCTGGCCCCATATCCACATCAAAATCCACCTAACCAAGCATTTCCTGGGATTGGGGCTGCCCTGGATCCCTCAGCCAGCCACAGGACCCAGAATTGATCCCGTGGATAGTGAGGCTAGAGTAGGCAGCTGCCACCAGGTGGTGCCAAACTGCAGCCTGAACCCGGATGGATTTGAATTGCACAAGGACACCTAACCAGCTAGTTGCACAGGCTTCCCTTTATCATTTTAACCTCACAATAGTCCAACCCTTTATTTTATGTGACTGAATCTTTTTGAATCATAGTTTCTTCATTGTGGCAGGATTTAACTGAAGTTAGAGCTTTTGTCCCACTAGTCTTCCACGAGGTAAAAATAAATTGTAAGTCATTTCTTTTGAAATCTTAGAACTTAAAATGGTTAAGGAAAGGATTTTAGTATTTCTTGTTATAAACCATGAAGTTCAGAACAAGTTTACACATTTAGGATTTTTTGTGTCTGAGTAAATTAATCTTTTGCTTTGGACTTTGTATCATTTCGTTAACTACTTGTATTTTATCAAGGTGTGCTGTTACAATATGGGTTAAAATGGATGAAGTATTAATATTATGCTTACATCTGCACATTTATACTTAGTCTCCTTACCTCTCCCCCAATAAACATTTTTAGAAGTAAGTGAAATGGTAAGATGAGAAAAATAAGTTTTGCCTTTAGTTGGCTTCCTATACATTGGAGGATATTAAGAGAGTGCTTTTTAGTTTCTCTTCTTGAATATGGAAAAGACAGGTGCAATTCATGCCATCCAATCTTGGTATCTGTATCACAGTCATTCTAGTAGTTTTTGAAGTTAAGGAATTGAGAGAGGGTGAAGACGGTAGAAGGGGTGATGACTTAAGAAAAAGCAGAGATAAGCAAAGAGCGAACTTGGGTATTCAGATACATCAAAAATACTATAGTTGGAATGAAAATGTGTATGTATGCTTTGGCCTAATCTGTGAGTTAGGCTTCTTGTCTTTTTCTGTACTTTGTAGTTACTTTATAATGCCCATTTGGAGTTGTGGGAAATGAGTGAAACTCACTGCAGTGGTGATTTGTTATATAAAGAACTTCTTCCTTAGTAGGTATTATACGACTGAAATGTTATGGACCCTCTTACACATTTGGAAATAAGACATTATTCCATGAACAGGAGTATAGTATGAAACAGATTTGGATAAAAAGACTGAACTTAAATTCTGGCTCTACCATTTATTAGCTGAGTGTATAAGTCACTTATTATCCCTAAAGTTTAATTTCCTCTTTTTAAAAATGAGCTAGCGTGGCCAGATACAGTGGCTCACGCCTATAATCCTAGCACTCTGGGAGGCCGAGGCAGGAGGCTGGCTTGAGCTCAGGAATTCAAGACTAGCCTGAGCAAGAGTGAGACTCTGTCTCTACTAAAAATAGAAAAAATTAGCCAGGTGTGGTGGTGCACGCCTCTAGTCCCAGCTACTCGGGAGGCTGAGGCAGGAGAATCGCTTGAGCCCAGGAGTTTGAGGTTGCTGTGAGCTAGGCTGACGCCACGGCACTCTAGCTCGGGCAACAGAGCAAGACTGTCTCAAAAAAAAAAAAAAAATTAAAAATGAGCTAGCTAATGATAATACTTCACAGGGTAGCCTGTGAGGTCTAAATGAGATAATATTTGTGAAAGGTACGTTATAAATTATAAAGTTATATATAAATGTAGTTATTTGGATACCTTGTGCCTACGTGTGATACTTAAAAGAAAATTCATTTATCGATTATATTCACAATTTAAAATGAGTATTATATAGAAGTCAACTGATAACATTATGGAATTATTTATCATTATCATAAGGCACTATTATA